GGTGACGTGGCACAGCAGCAGACCAGGTTCGCACAGGGTTGTGAATCTACAGGTTATGAGCGTCCAAGGCGTTACCGATATGAGAGGTTCTTCTTCAGAGCTTCATCAACAGGGCGAGGTGAGGAGACCCGTTGATCTTCCACCATCGTCTCCTTTGACTCCGCTACAGAATGGGGTTTCGGGGCCTGTGCCAACAACGGGCTCAGTGGACCCCACGGCGGCATCACCACAGGATGATGCAAGGCCAGATCATCAGCAGGCTGTTGCAACCATGGAGACCGCGCAAGTTCGTGACGACAGCGTGGGTCAGGATGGACGCGATGGTCAAATTCAAGTTCTCCCAGGTGGTCAGGCGGTCGTCCAGGAGCATGCTCAACCTGCAGGCGAACCAGCCGCACAACAGGGTGGAATGGGTCTTCGCTTACAGCAGAGCGGAAGTAACCATCTTCATCAAGGCGCGACTGGAGTCAATGAGGTTGCTGCGGTTCAAGATGACGCCAGACCATCAGGGTTTCCAGACAACATCAACTATGAGACACCGCGCTCACAAGTGTCCCGCAGAAGTATGATTCCGTCTCCAATCTCTGCTGCAGATGGACCCAGCCCAAGCGCTTTGCCGAGAGCACTGAAGTGGATCACGGGAATCGGTGAGTATTTCAACATTCGCTCAGTGGGTGAGAGTTTTGCTGGGCCCGCATTTGCGGTTCCGTTGACAGCGGTTCGTGGGCGACCTACTACTCCGCAGTATGGAGCTGTCAACGCGGCTTCGGCTTCCCATCTACGGACGGACTTGGCTTCAGGATCAAGCTCATTGTTCAATGCGGAGGCACTGCAACGGCTACGTGCAATGGAGGGAAGTGCCCCACTGTTGTACAGTCCTTCGGATGCTATTGTACAGCGAGGTGAGCGCCACTCGTCCGATTCCAGTGATTTGCCAAGGGATGTAATTCAGCAGGAAGTAGCACGACAGCTTGGCGAACTTACGAATCGTGTACAGGCCGCAGAGGCTGAGAATCAGCAGCTGAGGCAAAGGCTTACCTTCATGACAGAGGTTGGTCAGGCTACTGAGGGTTCTACTGGTGATAGGGTTTCCGGTGTTGGGTTTCAGCCCTTGCCTTCAGCCGTGCCGACAGGTCAAGCGACTCAGAGACCTTTGCGTCAGCAGTTGGAGCCACCCGTGCACATCCCTACGCCACCCTACTTAGCATCCCTAAGTCCCTCTGAGCAGAAAGAAGCCTTGGCTACCGTTCTGTTGCCTCAGGTAAGACAGCTTGAGGAAGATCATGCTGGAGTAATCCTAGATGTGCTTCTGCAGGAGGACAACTTAGTAGTACTGGAACTGCTAAGGCAACCAAGTCTTCTTCAGCAAAGGGTCTTTGAGGTTCAGCAATCGTTAGGGCTTCGGGTTGGTTTAGATGGTGTAGGTGGGGTGCAAGGATGGCAGGGCCATTCAGGTGACAATCAGGGTAGCTCGCTAAGGCTCTCGCCGCCTCAGGAATCTTCCCAGGTTCAAGTTGCTACTACTGCGCGCCAAGGGTTTGCAGCCTTGCAGGACACTGCTTCAACATTCTTGGCGTCACTTTTCCGTCAGTCGCAAACTTCAGGTGCACCGCAGTCGCAGGTTCGACCAGAGTCGGAATTGCCTGGCGTTGGACAGGATCACCGAAG